AATTAATTACGGGAATGATGTTGAAGTTGTGGAAGAGCTGCCTGTCGGCATTTCATCTTGGTTTGTCATTATGAGTTACTCAAATCATTTATTTCCTGGAAAGTGCATTCGATTTGTCACAATATTGAAAAAGTGATGAAATTGAAAATAAATGCTGAACAGTTTTGAAATTTGATAACTAAATAGTTACCTAGTTTTAGTGACATATACATATATCTATTAAAGTCAGGGAAAGATTTGGAATTGGGTGAAATTTTAATAAATGATGCCTACTTTTAGGCGAAAGTCAGCTGTGATGACAAATGAATCCTGTTTTTAATAATTAAGTTGCTTTCAGTTGTTGCTCATTTTTTAAATCCTTAAAAATCCTTCATAAATTGTAATTTTTTAAATCTCAAGTTTTTTAAGTTCCAAAAGCTCCATTATTAAATTAGACTCAATATTCATATCATATTTTTTAAACAATATTAATTTACCATGGCAAACTAACACGATCCTTGTTTTAAAATAATTGCCAATATAGAAATTCGCACCACATCATACACTTGCATTCTATCCAGAAATGCTCTAATACCGAGGTCAAAAACTGAACTGAACCGCAGAAAAATTACTCAAAAAAAAAAAAAAAATCTAAATTCTACAGAACAATGCATAATTATAAACAGATTAACCAAAAATAAATGATTAAAAACCACACCAAACAGAAAATCGGAACCATTGTGGTTTCTTCTATGTTTCTGCCAATGGGAGGGTGTTCCACATTCTCCATTTGCCTCACTTTGCCATACTTTGTTGGAATAATCAGACATTTAAATGGTCTTTGTTATGCAAATTAAGACACAATCACCAGCAGGGTGTTGTTGCTTAAATGCCATAATGACAAAAGCGGATTTTGGTGCATCACTAATTAGCCATTGAATTCTTGTGGCTAAGACCAAAAAAAAAAAAAAAAAACAAGTTAAAAAGCAGTAAGTTCGGCCGGGCCGAACTTTGAATGCCCTCCACCATTCGGAACGAATGTGGAAATTTTCAACAAATAAAGTCCTTAAAAAAGTTCTGTTACAATTTTAAAAAGACCAAAAATAATAGTTATATTGGGGTGTATACGGCGTGGACCTACATTGGCATTGATTGTCATAAGCCATTACCATATTCAAATTCGAAACTTGAAATAAACGGTCAATAATGTAGCTATAATCGTCAAAATACCGAATATAGGGAGGTACTGATGTATGGGGCCTATACAAAGACCTGGACCTGCATAGACAATTTTTTGTAATAGACTGTAGTTCCCATGACAAACTCTAAATACGTAATTTAAAACAATTCTGGTGAATAATGACGCTAAAATCATCAAAATACCGAATATTGGGAGGTATCGTTATATGGGGGCTATACAAAGACGTGGACCTGCACAGACAATTTTCTGTCTTAGGCTGTAGTATCCATTTCGCACTTCAAATACCAAATTTGAAACAATTCCGTTGAATAATGTCCCTAAAATCAACAAAATACCGAATATCGGAAGGTACTGTTATATGGGGGCTATATGAAAACGTGGACCTACATGGCACATTTACGAATTTAACCTGCCTACTGGCAAAATAAACATGTGTGCAAAATTTTAACCTTCTGTCTCAATTCGTTCGAAAGATAGCGTGATTACAACAGACGGACAGAAAGACAGACAGACGGACATCGATAAATCGCCTTAGAATTTTACGCTGATCAAGAATATATATATACTTTGTTGGATCTGGCATGAGTATTTCGAGGAGTTACAAACGGAATGACAAAGTTAATATACCCTCCATAGTATGGTGGAGGGTATAAAAAAATACAACTGTCGTTGAGAGAAAAGGCGAACTTGGCCAATTGGTGGAATTGGATATGTCGAGAGTGGGAAAAAAATCTTTTTTTTTTTTGGAAAATATCGAATGAACGATAGGGTCATTTAGCGGATGGCCGATAACAGATGCGGAGGTCCGTAGATAGTCTGTGGTCATCTGTAGAATCTATTAGATACTCAATGGAATCTCCTACAAAAATCTATGAGAAAAAGAGAACTTCTTATTCTCTTCTTTTTAAAGAGAAATAAGAGAGGAAGAACAATTTCGTTATCGCATCCTAAAAATTCTCTTCGAGCAGTTTGAGAGAAATTTAGATATCTTTGCATAACTTCTTTTTGTTATAAACATGGAGAACCATTAAATCCTTATAACTCACTTCAACGGTTCTTCGGTTTTACAACCCACATCTCTAAATGGTGATATGTTGTGCCTCATCGAAATAGCGGTTTTAGACCCTAGGTCTTATTGGACCAAATCCGTTTCAGGACATTTGGAGTCGATCTAGCGATGTCCGTCCGCCTATCTGCCTGGCTGGCTGGTTCGCCCAATAACTCTCCAAGGGAGTATTCGATTTGATCCAAACTTGGTACATAGTAATAATATTTTCAGACTTAGATCGAGTTCGGAGATGGACAATATCGGTCCACTTTTTCTAGTTCCTCCCCACAAAAGATCGGAATTTTCAAAAAAAAAGTATATATTCTACTGCACAGAAAGAGAATGGACAATGCGATTTTGCTTCAACTTTGCACATCCTAATATTTTCACCAGTGCTAGGTCCGGTGAGAAAATGGAAATATCTGTCCCCCTCAAACGGTCAAAATTCGGAATACAGGGGAGATGAAAAAACTGCAACCAACTTCAGACTACGGTCATTTCTAAGCCACTCGTCCGACAGCTGTTAAAATTATTCCAGTGACAGCTCATGATATTGTTTACAAGTGTACAAAGGCATTTAGGTGAGAATTTTCCCGAAAAAAGATGGAATTCAAGCGTGATAGGGTGATTTCTTTATATTTGGCTGTAAAACTACAAGTGGCTATCGTTAGAGCCCTCCAGCATTTAAATGTGAATAAATCTTTTGTGTCTCGTACCACCGCTCATTACCGTGCGATGATACTGGTAGCATAGCCCGACGTCAAGGAAGTGGACGGAAGACAGGAAAACAGCAACATCAGCAGAAATGGTTCGAAAAGTAAAGAAGCGACTTGACAGAAACCCGCGTCGCAGTGGCCGAAAAATGGCTCGTGAGCTGAACATATCGCAATATTCCATTCGGCAAATATTCGAAAAATAAGCTCAAGGTAAAGCCAGCAGTTTGTAAACAAACAAAATGATCATGTTTACTTGCCAAAGATGTCGGCTAAAAATGTGCACCTTCGGTTGGCCACCAGGACTCAAGCCTCAAGCCGGACATGGTGATGGTGAGGGCCGCCACAATAGCATATGGTCGCTCACCACTCGTATTAATCATCTGTGGCATCAGAATAAATACCGAATATTATCGCGAAAATATTTTGGAGGGTGTATTAAAGCCTTGGGCATGCAAACATTTTGGCCGCAGACCTTGGACATTCCAAGAGGACTCAGTGGCATCGCAATCAGCACGCGCCACCCAAGAATAGTTACAATATGAGGTTCCTCTTTTCATTTCCAGCGCACAATGGCCACCAAAATCTCCGGATACCAATCCGTTGTACTATTGTATCTGGAGTATTTTAGAAAGCAAGGTTGGTACTAAAAAATACCAAGGTGGCGATCACCTCAAGCAAGCGCTTCGCCGGAAATGGGCCAAAATTACGCAGAGCAACATTCAAGCAGTGTGTGGCGGTTTCATTGGTCGTTTGAAGGCCATAATTCGTGCCAGAGGTAACCAATTCGAACAAATCTAAACTTATTCTAAAATTTGATACTATTTCCGACATTTCTTGCTTTCATTCAATAAAATTTAAAAATAGATCTAAAAATTATGGCGTTTGACTATGTTGCAGTTTTTGTTTATCTCACCCTGTAAATGCCGAATATTATCGCGAAAATATTCCGGAGGGTGTATTGAGGCCTTTGGCCGCAGGCTTTGGACATTCCAACAGTGCTCAGCACGCATCACCCAAGAATTCGGGCAGCGTGTGACGGTTTCATTGGCCGCTTGAAGGCCATAATTCGTGCCAAAGGTGACCAATTCGAACAAATCTAAACTTATTTTAAAATTTAATACTATTTTCGGCATTTTTTGCTTTCATTCAATAAAATTAAAAAATGTAAAATGTATGCCATTTGACTTTATTGCAGTTTTTTTTTTTATCTCACCCTGTGTATGCATCCCCTTCTGGTACCTCACCCACAAAGGATTAAAATTTTCAATACATTTATCTGTCATAACTTAGCGATTCCTATCTACTGGCTATATCTAAATATTTCTCTCAATGAGAAAGCTCAGATGAATACGGAAGTTCTGATTTCGCTTAAAATTGGATATAAAGGTTCGATTTTCTTGTCCATACCTGTATTTTTATCTATCTACCTGGGTCCACTATATCTGGTACCTCCCCCATATTTTAACATTTTCTAAAAATTATCTCATATAGAATGAAGGAAGAAGTCGATATAGTCCATCCCTGGCGCGTCCCAATATTTATATCATATTTATTTATGTCCGAAACAAAATGGCCAATATTGGCCCACTCTTTCGGAACCTACGCCATAGAGGGTCAAAAAATTTAAATAACCAAACAGAAGACAAAACATATTTAAAAAATCGAACATTGACTGAGGGTATACATCTGTCGACACAACCGACTGATACTTTTTATTTTTTTTTTATCCTACCCGAGATTAATTCTCCAAGATGAACGATTGGTCAGCTGGTCTCTTCTGAGGAGATCATATTTGTTTCCCTTTGAGAAGAGAAACTGAAGAGACCAACTTAACTTCGAAATGCATTTCTAAATAATTTCAAGCCATTTTTTTTGTAAAAATTATTGACCCTCTGAAATTTGTTCATTGTAACGTGGTTTCGGTTCTAAAACCCACATCACTAAACAGTGCAGTGTTAAAACAACAATAACAACAAAAGTCAATGCATAACATTATGCAAAACGTAACAAAAGACAACAACAACAACAACAACAACACAACAAAACGTCAACTTACCCGAGAATGAAATAATCGTGTTCACATCAACCGGATGCACTGGTTCACCATCTGTGGCAATAACTGTCAACCCATGACCTTCGATTGTCACCTGAGCTGGACACACCGAAGCGAAGGCATTGATCATGCGGAAACGATAACGACGGCCCGGTGTAATGGTGAATATTTCCAAGGGGGTATTTGTCATGAAGCCGGTGTTGGGATCACGGAATTGACCCTTGCCGTTGATCAACAGCGATTCGGGATCTTGGCCAGTGTTGACAGCCAAACGGCCGGGATAACGTTCGGCGGCATCCTCGTGCAACCAATCACTGATCAACATAATATGGGTGGTCAAATCGAAATCATACAAATGAGAGTTGGGATCCCGCGAGGGTGGTTGACGTACAATGACACTGCCATAGAGACCATCCAACTTCTGGAGACCCGTGTGGGCGTGCCAGAAATGGGTACCAGCATTGCCAGTCCATTGATAACTGCAAGGGAAGAGAATGCATTTACATATTATATCACAACCCATCATCTCTTTCTCCCCCCCCCCCCACTTACCGGAATGTATTGCCCTGCTGGATGGGACATTGTGTCACAAATGGCACACCATCATAGTACTGTGATCCACGCTGCCAGATACCATGCCAGTGAATGGTTACCTCCATGCCCTCCATGTGATTTTCCACATCGATGACAACTTTATCATTCTCACACACCTGTATGCTGGGACCGGGTATCATTCGATTGGCGGTTAAAATGCCACGTTCAACACCGTCAGCCAAGACGCATTGACAGTGAGACCAGACCGTGTTGGTGGCATTGGGTGTGCAAACTTGACAGGCACTGAAACGATAATGAAAACCGAAGAAACCAAATCAAGTCAACGAAAAAAAAAAAAAAAACAAAAAACAAAGAAATCTAAAACCAAACAATTAACAATAGAGTTGAGACAAAAATCGGAATACAATTAAGTGCGAGAATAACAATAACAACAATAAAAATGGTTTATTTATTTAAATAAAATAACAATAAAAATAACAGCAAGTGGTAGCATGCAATGAATGATATCTGGGAAAATTATGAGCGATGGAAAAACCGGAACACATTGAAATGAATGTGGGAATAGGGTTATCGGCAATATTTTCAATAGAGAATCATGTTATCGATACTAAATCTTGCTATCTGTAATATATTCTATATATACTCTTGACATCGATTTATATTCAATAGATAATCGATAACATTTTCTGTAGAAAAATTTTTTTAACGTTTAAATTTTTTATTGTAAATCGTATCGATAACTTGGTCTATGTAGAAACAATTGTAATCGATAACATTTTCTCTATAAAAAAATTTTGTCATCGATAACATTTATTTTGTTATCAATAACATTTCTATATAGCAAATCTTGTCATCGATGACATTTTCTATATAGAAAATATCCTCGTCGATAACATTTTGATCTTTTTATAAAAAAAACTTTTTATCGGTAATATTTCCTATAGAAAATAATTTTATCGACAGTATTTTCGATCATCGATAATATTTTTGAGGGCAAATTTTGTTATCAACCAAATTTTCTATCGGAAATCTTGTTATCGACAATATTTTCCATAGATAATCTTGTTATCGACAATATTTTCTATAGAAAATTTTGTTATCGACAATATTTTCTATAGAAAAACTTGTTATCGGTTATATTTGCTATAGAAAATCTTATTATCGACAATATTTTCTATTAAAAATGTTGTTACCGACAATATTTTCTATTAAAAATCTTGTTATCGACAATATTTCTATTAAAAATCTTGTTATCGACAATATTTCTATTAAAAATCTTGTTATCGACAATATTTTCTATAGAAGATCTTGTTATTGGTAATATTTTCTATAGAAAATCTTGTGGTCGATAATATTTTCTGTAGAAAATCTTGTTATCGATTATATTTTCTATAGAAAATCTTGTTATCGGTAATATTTTCTATAGAAAATCTTGTTATCGGTAATATTTTCTATGGAAAATCTTGTTATCGGTATATTTTTTATAGAAAATCCTGCTATCGGTAATAATTTCTATAGAAAATCCAGTTATTGACAATATTTTCTGTAGAAAATATTGATATCGAAAACATTTTCTATAGTAAATCTTGTTATCGACAATATTTTCTATAGAAAATCCTGTTATCGACAATATTTTTTATAGAAACTCTTTTCGTCGAAAATATTTTCTATAGAAAATCTTGTTGTCGAAAATATTTGCTATAGAAAATCTTGTTATCGACAATATTTTCTATAGAAAATCTTGTTATCGACAATATTTTCTATAGAAAATCTTGTTATCGACAATATTTTCTATAGAAAATCTTGTTATCGACAATATTTTCTATAGAAAATCTTGTTATCGACAATATTTTCTATAGAAAATCTTGTTATCAACAATATTTTCTATAGAAAATCTTGTTATCGACAATATTTTCTATAGAAAATCTTGTTATCGACTATATTTTCTATAGGAAATCTTGTTATCGACTATATTTTCTATAGAAAATCTTGTTATCGACAATATTTTCTATAGAAAATCTTGTTATCGACAATATTTTCTATAGAAAATCTTGTTATCGACAATATTTTCTATAGAAAATCTTGTTATCGACAATATTTTCTATAGAAAATGTTGTTATCGAAAATATTTTCTATAGAAACTCTTGTTATCGAAAATATTTTCTATAGAAACTCTTGTTATCGGTAATATTTTCTATAGAAAATCCTGTTATCGATAATATTTCCTATAGAAATTCTTGTTATCGGTAATATTTTCTATAGAAATTCTTGTTATCGAAAATATTTTCTATAGAAAATCTTGTGGTCGATAATATTTTCTGTAGAAAATCTTGTTATCGATTATATTTTCTATAGAAAATCTTGTTATCGACAAGATTTTCTATAGAAATTCTTGTTATCGACAATATTTTCTATAGAAATTCTTGTTATCGACAATTTTTTCTATAAAAATTCTTGTTATCGACAATATTTTCTATAGAAATTCTTGTTATCGACAATATTTTCTATAGAAATTCTTGTTATCGACAATTTTTTCTATAAAAATTCTTGTTATCGACAATATTTTCTATAGAAATTCTTGTTATCGACAATATTTTCTATAGAAATTCTTGTTATCGACAATATTTTCTAAAGAAAATCTTGTTATCGACAATATTTTCTATAGAAAATCTTGTTATCGACAATATTTTCTATAGAAAATCTTGTTATCGACAATATTTTCTATAGAAAATCTTCTTATCGACAATATTTTCTATAGAAAATCTTCTTATCGACAATATTTTCTATAGAAAATCTTCTTATCGACAATATTTTCTATAGAAATTCTTGTTATCGACAATATTTTCTATAGAAATTCTTGTTATCGACAATATTTTCTATAGAAATTCTTGTTATCGACAATATTTTCTATAGAAATTCTTGTTATCGACAAGATTTTCTATAGAAATTTTTGTTATCGACAATATTTTCTATAGAAAATTTTGTTATCGATAATACTTTCAATGAAAATCTTGTTATCGACAATATTTTCTATAGAGGAAATAAGGTTATCGATAATATTTTTCATAGAAAATATAAAAATAAAAATTATTTATAGAAAATATTATTATCGATAACATTTACAATAAAAAATCTACTTATCGATAAAATTTTATTTATTGAAATTTTTTTGTCGGTAATATTTTTTACAGAAAATTCGTTTATCGATAATATATCTTATAGGAAATCTAGTTATCGATATGTTTTTCTATAGAAAATCTTGTTATCGGTAATATTTTTTTATAAAAGAACTGATTATTTTCTCTGCAAAAATGTTCGATATTATTGCCTTCTCTAGAGACTCTTACAACAAACAATTGCGATAAATTCCTTCCCCGAGATTCATGGACAATTTCCATTTCTTAATGAACTCAAATTTCCACTCTATCAAATATTTGATATGCTAATACTTTCATTTAACAACTCTAGATAATGGATGGTATTTTTGTTTTCTTATGAGCCTCCGTCCACAAAGTATCTGACTACTACTGGCAACTGCTGGGTAAAATAATAATAATAATAAAAAAAGTCAATGGTTTGTAAAAATTTTATTGCACTGCAAAGTGCAACAGTAAAACCATCAAAAGAGTGGCAACAACTTCTGCTCCATACTTTGTATGCAGCCATGGATATAATTTTTTGCTTTTACACCGTCATCATCTGCACCGTCGTCGTCTCCTGTGTCTTATTAGTCCACTTTTTTCTTTCGAACTTTCAGCTTCGGTTTCATTTTTCACAAAAAGTATACAGCAGTTTATTTAAAATGACGGTTATGGCAAATTGCCGCAACACCTTTTGCTGAATGGCTGCTAAGCAAATGAAACCGAATAATGGTGGAAAGGTGGAAAATGCAAACGACCAGAGAAAAAAAAAATAGATGAAAAGAAAGAAAAGCCTATTGCTTGAGGGAAGAAATGCAAATTGCTGCAGCCATAGATGGATGGCTGGCTGGATGGTTGTTCTTGGTATCTATTGTCGTTGCCACAATTTAAATTATAGGATAATAATAAGAAGTCTGAGTTATAGGAAAGCACTACGATAGATAGATAAATGTGGGAATCGCTAGAAAATTTTGATATACAGAGTGAGATAAAAAACTGCAACCAATTTCAGACTGCTGTCATTTCTAAGCCATTAGTCCGACATCATGATATTGCTTAAAAGCCTCCAAAAGCATTTTGTTGAGAATTTTCCAGCAAAAAAAGTTATTCGTGATGGAATTCAAGCGTGATAGTGTGATTTCTTCATATTTGGCTGGAAAACCACAAGTGGCTATCGTTAGAGCACTTCAGCAATTAAATGTGAATAAATCTTTTGTGTTTCGTACCATCGTTCGTTACCCTGATACAACTGGCGTAGCCCGATGTCAAGGAAGCGGACGGAAAACAGGAAAACAGCAACATCAGCAGAAATGTTTCGAAAAGTAAAGAAGCGACTTGATCGAAACCCGCGTCGCAGTGGCCGAAAAATGGCTCGTGAGCTGAACATATCGCAATATTCCATTCGGCAAATATTGAAAAATAAGCTCGGGGTAAAGCCATTGAAATTCCAAAAAGTGCAAGAACTTACACCGCAACAGAAAGAAAATAGACTCAAAAGACTGCTTCGCTTGGTCGAAGGTGGTGAACTGGCGAATTTAGTTTCCGGTTTTCTCCGATGAGAAAACATTTGTTGTCCAGCAGTTTTTAAACAAACAAAAATATCGTGTTTACTTGGCAAAGAAGTCAGCTGAAAATGTGCATCTTCGGTTGGCCACCAGAACTCAAGCCTCAAGCCGGCCATGGTGATGGTGTGGGCCACCATAACAGCCGATAAAAGCTCGTATTAATCGACCGTGACATCAGAATAAATGCCAAATATTATCGCGAAAATATTCTGGGGGGTGTATTAAAGCCTTGGGAACGCAAACATTTTGACCGCAGACCTTGGACATTCCAACAGGATTCAGCACCATCGCACTCAGCACACGCCATCCAAGAATGGTTACAAAATGAGGTTCCTCGCTTCATTTTCAGCGCTTAATGAACACCAAAATCTCCGGATACCATTCCGTTGGACTATTGTGGCTGGAGTATTTTGGAAAGCAAGGTTGGCACTAAAAATACCAAAGTGTCGATCACCTCAAGGAAGCCCTTCGCCGGGAATGGACCAAAATATCGCAGTACAACATTCGGGCAGCGAATATAGCTATTATATTAGGGCGACGACATGAATCTGCGTAGGTAACATTTGTCATAAGCCAT